GAGGGAGGGGAAGGGAAGAGATTGCAGGAAGAATAGAATGGAAGGTAACACGCAAGCGTGCGTGGATGTAAAGGTCCGTTACTATGCCGCAAGGGTAACAACAGCACCTTGTGACATTGAGAATTCAGCTACCCCACCAAAAAAAATAATTTCTCAATTGTGGTGTCAGGGACTGGCTTTGGAGAGCAAATTAATCCGGTGTTTCTAATCGCCGGTTGCTATTCATTATTAAAATTGGTCATTAGTAACACGGGTCATGAAATCATTATATTCTATCCATGGAATGATTCCGTGTTATCATTGCTCATATGGAATTCGGGTAAGCAAAACGTGTGTGATTTGATAACTGCCCATTCCTTTAATTGTTCATTATTAATTAATCATGAAGGGTCATCATTCATTCACAACTGATGACTGATACTAAAGCCTTACTAATATTAAGTTCTGGGCAGCCAGACTCGTCCATTTGACAGCTCAGTCGTCACTGAATTATTCGTGATTAAGTAATCACTGCATATTACTTAATAACCAATGACCATCAATCGTTGTCCGCATTAAATTCTAATTGGTGCATTCTGTCGGGGTCCCCCCGTGAGCAGGGACGGTGTCTCGCTGGGGTTCCTGCGGTCAGTCCGTCCCCGGCCAGCAGCTGACGGCGGCCTGTGTCCCCCCCAGGTGGACAGCCAGCAGCTGACCTTAGAGGACCAGGCGCTCGCAAGCATGGACGACGCCACGCTCAGCCGGTTTGTACACACCAACAACCTGCGCCTGGTGACCGAGTACAACGCCATGGTAAGCATGCGGTCAGCCCGTGGCCAGCTCCCGTGGCCAGCTCCCGTGGCCAGCTCCCGTGGCCAGCTCCCGTGGCCAGCACCCAGTGGCCAGCATCTCATGGCCAACACCCAGTGGCCAGCATCTTGTGGCCAGTTCCCGTGGCCAGAATCTTGTGTCAACCTCCGTGTCCAGCATCTCGTGGCCAGCTCCTGTGTCCAGCATCTCGTGGCCAGCTCCTGTGGCCACCATCTTGTGTCAACCTCTGTGTCCAGCATCTTGTGCCAGCTCCTGTGGCCAGCATCTCGTGGCCAGCTCCCGTGGCCAGCCCCCATTCATCTCTTGTGGTCAGCTGGCCATGGTATGCTGGTCCACTTGGGCGACTGGCTTAAGATCCAGGCTCTCTGTTCACCACATCGTTACCAATGTCTCCTTCTCCCCCCCTCCTCTCGCTCTGCCCCCATCCTTCCCTCCTCCCTATCCTTCTTTCTCCTCTCTGGCTTTCTCTCCTTCCTTCCCTTCTTTCTCTTTCCTTCCCACCCCTCTCTTCCTCTCTCTCTTCCTCCTCCCCTTCTCTCTCTTCCTTTCTCTTTTCTCTCTTTCCCTCCTTCTTACCTTTCTCTCTGTGTCTCTCTCCTTGCTGTCTCTGTCTGTCTGTCTGTCTCTCTGCATTTCAATTCTCCAGACCGTGCTGGGCCTGTTTAACACCATGATTCAGATCCACCTCCTCCTGATGATGGACAAGGCATCCCCGGGGTTCGAGGAGAATCTGTCCACATACCGGAGGGCAGCCCAGCTCTTCCAGGGAGAGGTGAGCAGGGTCGGGTCACCCCACGCCGGGCAAAATCACGAGTCAAGACAGTCTTGAACACCCCCTTCGATGACCCGATAACAATGGCTGCAGCTGAATAATCCTCACAAAGATGGGCCTTGCGCCGAGGGAGGCCTGCGAGACCCCATCTTCTCATGGTGGTCGAAGTGACTTCGTTTTTCTATCTTGGTGAGCGGAGAGGAAAGAAAATAGAGACACAGCCGGGTGCTGGTGGCTCCCACCTGTCATCCCAGCTGCTCGGGAGGCTGAGATCTGAGGATCCAGGTTCAAAGCCAGCCTGGGCAGAAAAGTCCATGAGATTCTGCTCTCCAATGAACCACCAGAAAATCAGAAGTGGTGCAGTGGCTCAAGTGGTAGAGCACCATCCTTGGGCAAGAAAAGCTAAAAGGCAGCTTGCCCTGGCCTGGAGCTAAAGTCCCAACAGCAACACAAAATCCTTCCTTCCTTCCTTCCTTCCTTCTTTCTTTCTGAAAGGAATAAGGTAGCAAAGCCACCCAAGATAGAGCTATCGAAACTCAAGGGAAATGTCAGGCAGGCAGCACAGATGAAACTAACAATTACAGAGCGTCTGTCCACATTAACTCCTCTTACAACTACACTTCAGTTCATCGTCTACATCTTCATTTCTTCACCTGCCATCTTCACGTCTTCTCTCGCAGATCCTCTTCGTTCTGGTGGACAGCGGCCAGAAAGACAACCGCAAAGTGGTGTCATACTTCAGGCTGCAGGCGTCCCAACTGCCGGCCCTGGCGATCTACCGGACGCTGGACGACCAGTGGGACACGCTGCCCATCTCCCAGGTGGACGTGGACCAGGTGAAGGAGTTCTGTGCCGGGTTCCTGGCTGGGAAGGCATCGGTAAGCGTGACAGGAGGAGAGCAGCAGGGCTCCCGGGCCTCTCTGTGCATCCTTGGGGGTGATGGTTTAGGAAGAATTCGCTGCGCTGGGGCAGGGAGCGGCGGCTCCCGCCTGTAGTCCCAGCTGGGCGGAAGGTAGAGGTAGGAGAATCGTCAGCCTGAGGCGAATGCTCAAGACCCTGTCTGAATCGTAACTAAAGCACAATAAATAAATACATGAACACGGTTGGGGCTGGGGCTCTAGTGAAGCTCGAGCCCCTGACTTGCCAGGGTAAGGCCCTGAGTTTGAATCCCAGTATTGACCAAAATTAATTGGTTTAAATAACCCTCTGGGCTCTGAACCTAAAGATGGGCATTCTAGCCGGGCGCTGGCGCTTCACACCTGTCATCCCAGCTGCTCAGGAGGCTGAGATATGAGGATTGAGGTTCGAGGCCAGCCCCAGACTGGAAAGTCCGTGAGACTCTGATATCCAGTGAATCACCAGAAAACCAGAAGTGGCGCTGTGGTTCACGTGGTAGAGCACCAGCCTTGAGCTGAAGAGCTCAGGGGCAGCGCCCAGGCCCCGAGTTCAAGATCCAGGACACACATGCACACACACAAATAATTAATAACAATAATAATAGTAATAGTAATAAATGCCTGCGTGCTGGTTTTTTTCAGAGGGAAGATAATAAATCGGAAGACGCCACCGCTAAGGAAGAACTGTGATTTCTTCCCCTGCTCCTACTGACCATACACATCTACTTTGTGCTAAATAAAATGAGCAAGCTCACCTCTGCTACACCAGACTGGATCACAGGACATCACACGCATGCACACACACACACACACACACACACGTCACACACACACACACACACACACACACACACACACGTACGGGGTCCGGGCGATGACCCGATCTCGCTTCCTCTCCCCCTCGATTCCCACCCTTGGCACTGGGACACACAGGGATCTGCTGTCTGTGGTTAAGATGGGGCCCGCTCTTCCAGCACCTTCTATGTCTGCTTGTGGTTGTCTGAGGATGGAAGCTCCACCAGCTTCCCCCACCACAGGGCCTTCTCTGACCCAGAGCCAGAAATAAAAGGGTTAAGGGCTGCTCTGCCATGGTTTTAGTTTTGTTGTTGTTGTTTGGGATTTTTTGTGTGTCACAAGTTAAGTCATGACTCCAAGTTTTGAACTCGAAATGAACCAAGTACATTAGAGAGAAAGGGGGAGGAAGGGAGGAAGGGAGGGAGGAAGGGAGGGAAAGAAGGGAGGGAAGGAAGGGAAGGAAGGAGGGAGGGAGGGAAGGAGGAAGAAGAAAGGAAGAAAGAAAGGAAAGAGAAAGAAGAAGGAAGGGAGGGAGGAAGGAGGAGAGGGAGGAAGGAAGGGAGGGAAAGAAGGGAGGGAAGGAAGTAGGGAGGGAAGGAGGAAGAGGAAAGGAAGAAAAGGAAAGAAAGAAAGAAGGGAGGGAGGGAGGATGGAGGAGAGGGAGGAAGGGAAGAAAGGAAAGGAGGAAGGAAGGAAGGGAGGGAGGGTGGAAGGAAGAAAGGAGGAAAAGAAGGAAAGAGGGAGAGAAAGAAGAAGGGAGGGAGGGAAGGAAGGAAGGAAATTTATGCTGACAGCATTTCCCATCCCCTGTGTGAATCAACCACTCAGTTAAATAACTAGCCTATCAAGATGGACGCCAGGAAATGGACACAGGAGGGTTTTTTCTATGTTGTCTTTGTTTTCTTTTCTCTTTGTCTCCTGGGTGGGTTTCTCTGTCTCTGGGAGGGTGAGGGGGGCACAGAAATGGGGAGACAGAGGGGAAACCGAGGCAGCCGTGGTCCTCACTGGACACCAGGTGGAGAATGAACTCTACCACTGGTGGGTGGGGACGGGAGGGAAAAATGGGGAGAGAGCGAGGGAAGGGGGGACAGGGTCCACAGAGCATTGCGCTCACGACCCAATTGATGTCACTGTCACCCCTCTGCCCGTCACCTTTGTCATCACAGTATAAAAACAAATTTTAAATCAGTAAGGGGCAACCCCATTGCTCCCCCCTTTGTGTCCTGCCGGCTGCTCAGGGGAGCCAGGAGCACTTTACACTGAGCCCTGGCTGCTTGACACTCAGGCCAGGCACTACAGACCTGGGCCCCCGGGCCGCTGGGTGGCGTGTGGGGCGGGTGGGGGACCGGGCAGCCCGAGCACCAACGCCGCTGGTGTGTGGCGGAGAGGCTGGGGGCGGGGAGCCCATGAGGTAAGAGGTTGAGGGTTGGCCGGGACTAAGCAGGTGTGGTACACAGCCCGCGTGGGAGGCAGGAGGTGGGGGCCGTGTCGGGCTAACGTCCCCGGACCACAGGCTCTTACTGTCCACGCACAGATGGCTCCTTGTTCTCAGCAGGCCCTGGGATCAGAAGAAAAGAACCTAAGTGGCAAAATGCTGGCCGGGTGAGGGGGGTTAGGGGGGAATAAAACCATGGCCGGGCTGGTGGAGGCTGGGAAGAGAGTGTGAAAGTCAAAGGCCTGCTTGTTCTTCATCCAGGAGAGATGCCACCGCCCTGGGTGTGGATACAGACGCTGGCCTCGACCTGTGTAAACAAGAGTGCAAGTCAGGGTCACCCTGTCCCTCCCTCCCCCGCCCCCCCAGACTTCAGTAGTCTCCAGCTTGAGCCTGGCATGGATGGTTCACGCCTGTCACCCCAGCTGCTCGGGAGACTGAGATCTGAGGATCGCAGTTCAAAGCAGCCTGGGCAGGAAAATCCATGAGACTCTGATCTCCAAAGAACCGCCCCAAAAAAGCCCAAAGTGGAGCCATGGCTCAAGCGGTAGAGCGTCAGCCTTGAGCACAGAGAGGCTCAGGGACAGAGCCCAGGCCCTGAGTTCAAGACCCAGGACTGGAAAGAAGAAAGGAAATTAGGCCCAATCCCAAAGAGCTGAATTCAGGACATTTCTACCCCTGCCAGCCAATTTCCTGGCCTAGGATGAATGTAGAGTTCAGGGGGAATTTAAGGACACCTTTCAATTTCCAATGTACTTTCAGATACCTAAATCTTCCAACAAAGCTGGGCGCTGCTGGTGGCTCACACCTATCATCCCAGCTACTCAGGAAGCTGAGATCTAGAGGATCCCGGTTCAAAACCAGCCCAGGCAGGAAAGTCCATGGGACTCTTCTCTCCCATGAACCACCAGAAAGCCAGAAGTGGTGCTGTGGCTCAAGTGGTAGAGCGCCAGCCTTGAGTGAAGAGCTCAGGGACCGCACCCAGGCCCTGAGTTCAAGCCCCAGGATCAACCAAAATAAAAATCTTGGGACAAGGGTCCTGGCCTACTTCACAAAGAGAAGGAAGGCAGAGGATTGAGTGGGACTCACCAGTGAGCCAGCACTGGTGTGGGATTCAACTCTAGATTCCTCCCCTACCTGACACTCATTTACACCAATGGTGGAACATCTGGAAAGCCACTGAACGGAGCACAGAACGGAGAAGAGTCGAGGGTGGAAGGGTCTCCCTGGGTCTCCCTTTTTCTTTACCATCAAAGCTGTCACACTAACCAGTGGTTCTTTTGTGTCCCCCACCCCCAATCCCGAGATTCTCCCACTCCCGGTGAACTTCCCCTCTGAGTGGAAAGGAGGGATGAGGGCTTGTCATTTCAGCCCTCAGCCCCGCAGTTTCTTCTGCCCTGACTCACTCGCTCTATTTACACCCCTCTTCCCCTCAAACTTTCCCCCCAGCACCACTAACAACAGGAAGGAATGAGGTCGTGTTGGTCCACAGAATGGAAATGAGTGGGTTCCATGGGGGGACAGAGGGGCCGGTGGTGGTGGACACCCACAGGACCACAGGACGTGGTGTGGGATGGTGATCGAGGACGTGGTGGCTTCAGGCTGGCCTAGCCCCGGTTCACACCAGGAGTGAATGGACGAGCCACACACCAAGTGTGGAAAAGGTGCTGTGCTCACGGCTGGAGGCTCTGGCCCGCTCACAGCCCTTCCTTCAGCTCATCTGCCAATCTGCCAAGTTATATTTCCTTCAGGGATTCCTGAAGGAAAAAGAAAGAAAAGTCACCATGGCCCCCAAGCTGTGTGATTCTAATTACAACTTTAAGAGTCATTTCCACACTCACACACCACCAAAATAATAATAATAATATATTAAAGCTCCAATCACAAGATGCAACTTCCACATGACTGACTCTCCCAATGTCTATAGTTAAAGGAGATTTTTTTCTAACTTTCTCAGAAGAGATGGGAATCTGAGGAGACTTAAAAGGGCTCTGTCCTTAGATAACTCATGGTTGAAGAAGGCCGGCCATCTCTGTCCCATAGGAAGCTCAGAGAAATATTCCTGGAAAAGGTCGACCATTACTAATCACCAAAGGGGGAAAAAAAAAACCCCACGAAAATCAGATCAGAGCCCAAACCACAGCAAAGACTGGTTCGTGGAACGCATTTCTGCTTCCCACATTCCGTTCCAGCTTCCAGAACATGTTTCTAGAAGGAATGCACCCCTCACATGAAAAAAGAGATGCTTTATCCTTTTATTTTGTCGGTCCTGGGGCTTGAACTCAGGGCCTGGGCGCTGAGCTCTTTTGCTCAAGGCTGGTACTCTACCACTTGAACCACAGCACCACTTCTGGTTTTCTAGTGGTTCATGGGAGATCAGAGTCTCACGGACTTTCCTGCCCGGGGTTGGCTTTGAACCGCCATCCTCAGATCTCAGCTTCCTGAGTCGCTGGGATGACAGGCATGAACCGACAGTGCCTGGTAGAACCCCTAAGAGGGGAACAAAGTCATCCTAATTGTACAGAAAATAAATCTTTTGTTGTAATTAGTGACATAGTGAGTTTCACAACTGATGAACTGTTCACAGCGATGAATAGCAGGTGAGAGAAACATATTTGGGAGAGGAAGGAGGAGGGGGAGCAAATGCAGTCATTACATGATCTATGTACTTTAAGCAAAAATTGAACTATGGTGGGGGTGGGGGGAAGTGGCTCCCGCCTGTCATCCCAGCGACTCAGGAGGCTGAGATCTGAGGATCATGGTTCCAAGCCAGCTCGGACAGGAAAGTCTGTGAGACTCTGATTTCCCATGAACCACCAGAAAACCAGAAGTGGCGCTGTGGCTCACGTGGTAGAGCGCCAGCCTTGAGTGAAAGAGCTCAGGGACAGCGCCCAGGCCCCGAGTTCAAGACCCAGACTAACCAAAAAAAAGTGAAGAAGAAGGTAAAGAAGAAGGAGAAAGAGCAGCTGACCCCTCCATTCTATTTCCGTCCAGCTAGCCCGTGCCAGGACTCAACCCCCGGTTTATTTGGCTTTTAATAAATGTATTCTTGTTGTTGCAGACATTGTGCAAAATGGAAAAACAAACACAGCAGTCTGGGCTGGTTAGAGTTCAGGAAGTGAGGGCAGGGTCGCTATTTAAAAAAAAAAAAAGAAATCCAGCATCCGCCTTCTGGAACCTTCCCACTCGTTTCTCACAGATCTGATTCCCCAAAGCCCCTGAGCACGGCCTACATATGATTATCCCTCCATCCATCCACTTCGTGAAATACTATTAAACTATAAAAATTGAGAGACAAAGACACAGGCAAAGAGAGAGAGAGAGAGAGAGAGAGGCAGAGAGACACTGAAGGAGAGACAGAGGCAGAGAAAGCTACTGACATTACTGGATGAACAGAGAAAAAAATGCTTTAACTATTGTAAAAAAGTTGTGTTAACAAGATACTGTACTGACTTGCATGTTTACAAAGAAATAGATTTCTTTAGGTGGGTCGTGGGGCTTGAACTCGGGGCCTGGGCGCTGTCCCTGAGCTCTTT